TCAGGAACAGTGTGGCCAGCATGACCAGTGAAGTGACTTTCCCCTTGTACTTGGCACTGGTGAGTTCACACCTCGAATACCGTGTTCAGTTTTGGGCTCCTCACTACAAGACAGACATTGAGGTGCTGGAGCATGTCCAGAGAACGGCAACGGAGCTGGGGAAGGGTCTAATTGTATAATTTTCATTGTCCTTTGAATGACTTCATCCATATGTATATTTGTATTATGCATCACTCCAAGGAGAAGCCCAAGCCTGAAGAGATTATCTGAAATTTCGAGAAAAACAAACACTGTAGAATCATTTGTTCAACTTGCATTTCTTGCAACCCAAACCTCCAGTATGTACACTGCTCTGCTCCAAAGACGAAACACATGCACTCTGAGGCTTTGGGAGTGGATGCTTCCTGATTCATGACAACAGAATATGTATGAAGGGAATAGGGTATGAGAATGTACACGTACAGGAAAACTGCTTAGAACAAAAAGACTGTGATTTCAAGTGTTTTGGGGTGTTTATAAACATGTATGTATGTTTTTGTGTATATGAAGGAGGGCCACGAAGATGATCAGAGGACTGGAGCACCTCTCCTATGATGAAAGGCTGCAGGAATTGGGCTTGTTCAGCCTAAAGAAGAGAAGTCTCTGGGGAGACCTTACAGCAGCCTTCCAGTACCTGAAGGAGGCTACAAGGAATCTGGGAGGGGGACTTTTTGCAAGGGCCTGTAGTGACAGGACAAGGGTATATGGGTTTAAATTGGAAGTGGGGAGGTTTAGATTAGATATCAAGAAGAAATTCTTCATGGGGAGGGTGGTGAAGCACTGGAACAGGCTGCCCAGAGATGCCCCATCCCTGGATGTCTTCAAGGCCAGGATGGATGAGGCTTTGAGCAACCTGGTCTAGTGGAAGGTGTCCCTGCCCATGGCAGGGGGGTTGGAACTAGGTGGTCTTTTAAAGTCCCTTCCAACCCAAACCATTCTATGATTCTACGTACCCTAAGCAGATGTAGTAGTAGGAAGAAATATGAACATTTTGTTTTCTTACTTGTCCTTCCCAGACAGTAGCAGAAAAAGCTACAGTAAATAATTTATTAGAGAATGTAGAGCCAAAAGAACAATATATCTTTAAAATGCAACATGAAATATTGCAGAGATGAAATAGTAATGGCAAATTGCTACTCAACTGAAGCAGACAGAACTTGAGATAACTTCAGGATGTAGGACTTCCTTGTCTTCCACTTACAAACAAGCTCTGTTTTGCTCTCAGGTAGCAAAGAGGTTGAGCTAACCTCTGTAACAAACATTACAGGAAGGTATCTGTAATATTTCTTTATTTCAGTGCTTACTTTAATTAAAAGTAGTCTTTCTTTGAGAAACCAGCGATACATGCAATAGTGTATATTCAGCTTTCTGTTGCTAAAATGACTGTATGCAGTTATCAATTACTTGATGCCTGTGCATTATTTCTTAAATTGGCTAACAAACTAAATATTCTTCAAAGCATTATAAAGAAATGACCAGCTGCTGTATATGACATCCCTCTGTGGTTATGAACCAGCATTTCAGAGAACTGAAAATGTTTCACATACAGTACAGCACTTATTATAAGCTCTGGGAGCACTGACAATTTAAAATAGATTCAATGCAGTAAAAAAAAAAATTTTTTTTCTTTTATTTCCTCTGTATAAAGGTATGTAACAAAACATACTAAACCCTTAAGTGTTCAAATACTTCCTGGATAATTCTGAATCTGGTTGTAGGAACATGAAGAAATCTTGCTAAAACAAATTCTTGCTCCCTTTTTCTACTTGTTGCCATTAGGCATGGCAAAATAATAACACAGATACGAAATATGGCAAGCATATGGCATTTGCATATGAATAACAAGAAATGTAATTTCAATTTACTCTTCTACAGAAAAGACAAACTTTCCATATTTTTGTATTACAAAAGCTATGAATTATAGTGCGAAGTTTATCCATCATTCCTCTGTGTGTAGAATAACCTTGATCCAACTACATTTTTGTTTCTTACAAAAACTAACTTTAATTCAAGAGTCAAAACTTTCACTGATTAACATCTGTCAAACTTCGCACAGCTTTCTCTTAATACAATATGCAAAATGGATATATCTGTTATATATGTATGAATCAGGTCCAACCAACCTCCACAATGCCTTGCAACATGTAGTGTCAGGCCTTTTTAAGAAGAAAGCTCATCAACCTATCTGCTCAGCATCGACCAAGAGAGAACTTGGACTGTTTGACCTAGAGAAGAGAAGGCTCAGGGACAATCTTGTCCATGTATATAAATACCTGAAGGGAGGGTGTAAAGAAAACAGAGGCAAGCTCTTTTCAGAGTCCAGTGACAGGACAAGAGGTAATGGGCACACACTGAAACACAGAAGGGTACATCTGAACAAAAGGAAACACTTTTCACTGTGAGGGTGACTGAGCACTGGCACACGCTGACCAAGGAAGTTGTGGAGTTTCCATCCTTGGATACTCAAAAACCACCTGGACATAGTCCTGAGCTACCTGTTCTAGGTGGCCCTTCTCAAGCAGGGTGGTTGGACCACATGACCTCCAGAGTTCCCTTCCAACCTCAGCCATTCTGTGGTTCTATAAGTCACTGCCACAGGGCATTAGAAATGTGAAAACAGGAATAAAAACTATCTATTGGTTTACACGTAAACACTATTAAGCTAATTAACTTGAAATAAATTATCATATCATTTCAACAGTTATTCCTCCTGCTCTATAATACTCTGCTGTAGAAAGGAACATTAGAAAAATTTCTGCTAAATGGTGTCTGTTCTTCTCATGTATATTTAAGCAACATGGAAGCTCACTGTAAAGGGCAATGAGATTTATAAACTATAGAGAAAAGTTTTCAGGAAAACCTATGATATCTAGACATCATTTTTCTCTGCTCTGTGATTTTAGAGACACAAATTAAAGATCTACAGGAGCCAAGAGCAGAATAAAAAATAGCAATACTAAATTCTGGTAAATTCTGTTAACTCAAATATTTATGAATACAGAATTTGTACTTGTGAAAATAAAGATGTCCCTACTGTTTAAATAGTCAAATAGATTGAATATTTATTTTAATTCAGAAAGGTTATGGTCAGAAAGGATATGGTATGGACATAACACATGTGCATGTATGTGAAGCTTGAGACAAATCAGAACAATTTATTAGTTTTTAATGAATGTATATATTTACCACCAAGTGAAATAAGTGAAAGCCATTCCTCTTTATAACAAAACAAGTACTGTAAAACCATTTTGTCACATATATATTGGTACTGAGATGCATATAAGGATGCATGCTGCAAGGAAAAGTGAAATGGAGTTACAATGTAAAGAAGAAAAGTTTTACATGTAAGAAAAAAACAACATATAAATGGAAACTTCTCACGTTTGTAATGCTCGAGTCTAGATTATTGTGCCATAATTAAGATTTTTAATTTCTTTGTAAAGAATATGCAAATTTTCAACTCCAGAGTTAATTATCTGGATTCAAAATCTTCCATCTATTTCAACTTTTTGTTTAAAAATGCATCTAAGATGTTCAATATGTAGGATAATTGTTCTAAGAGGCAGAAGGAACTTAAACAGATAGTCTTCTTCTTCAGTCCAATTTAATGTTAGAAAATACATTCTTGTTGACCAGTATACCTTTAACATATGCATCACGTAGGTATTTATGTGGAAAGAAAACTTACTAGGAGATTTCTCTTCTTCCTCCTTAGGTTCTACTTTTTCTGCTTTTGGTGGACCTTTGATTTTGTACATTAATGAACGGAGTTTGCCAGTCAAGGAGGAATCTTCTTCTTCCTCTTCCTCCTCTTCTAGTGGAATACCTTAGCAGATAAAAAAAATGGTTAGAAACAAAACTTAACCTTTGAAGATTAACTCCTTCAGTACTAAAATTTCTACAATATGGATATCTACAATACAACGATACTAAAATATCTACAGGAAATTTTTTTTAACCAAATTTCATAGAAGAAAAAAAAAAGTAGTAAGGCCAGTAGCTTTAACATTTTAGCTACAGTAGCACCTTTCAAATTATGTTTATTTCAGTACACATACTTCTTATATCCAGATTTATATATTATTTTTTCAGTATTATGACCAAAGAGGTGATATCATTTGAAGATTCTACTACAGCAGTTAATTTTGACTCACAGTCATATTTGATTAAATGTGTGTGACCCTTTATTTCACACTGCAGAATGTAAGCTAAAGAAAGAAACGTGTGGCTATATCTCATAATATAGTACATTTTTTTCAGTCACGATATAGTAATATAGTAAAATTTTTCAGTTGAGGTATTTAGCAGTCATAAACAAACATATTATCTGAATTTAAAGCTGTACGAAGGCAGATGTACAGAGATTATACTGGTGAAATGCGTTTTTCATGAAAAGGTATACCATGAGATGGGATGTCATTTCACAAGGCAGTTTAATACAGTTCAGTTCATTACATTTCTTCACAACCATTCAAAACATTTTCAAATCTTTCACACCTTTTAGTGATGATCAGATACCGTATGTGTTATGTGCAGAAGCACAGAACATCTAAGCAGCTTCCCTTCAGACCAGAGCTAATTGTGCTGAGCTGAAAGCTTTTGTAAGCTTTTGCTGTGAAACTGAGAAAAGGAAAAGATTTCCAGACAGAATACTGAAGAGGGATAACCTGGAGGAGATGGAAAAGAATAAACTGCAGGGGCTAAAACTGGTATTAAAAAAAAAGAAACTAGAAAAGGAAAATAGAACTGAAACGTGTTACCAGGTTGGAGAAACTTTGCCGCTGGCAGCTACTCTAGAGAAGTTGAAGTTATGACTAGGAATGACTAAGTGACTGGGAAGAAAAAAAATTCAGAGGCAGTGGGAGAGAATGAGAGAACTAGAAATTGAAATTGGAGACAACAGATGGAATTAAAGACTGGGAAATGTGAGACTGACGTGGCAAAATGGAAAGCTAAGAATGAAGGAAAGCTACACTTAGAGTCTGAAAAAACTAAGAACAGGAAACGTAGCCAATAGGGAGACTAAAAAGAAAGCAGATCAGGATGTTAAAGAAAGCAAGAAACTATCTGGCACTGAAAAAAAAGATAGGCCCTGGAAGCAAGAGACACACACTGGGATGAGAACACTCAAGAAGCTGAAATGGGCAGACAATAAGAAATGCACTGGGATGATGAGTAAAGACAGTGCTGGACAGGAGAGTATGGAGTCTGTGGCTGCTCCAGACTAGGTCTCGTTCACTACTCCATATCACTTGTTATTCATTTTGCATCCTCAGAGCTGTAATCCATTCAGAAGCTGACCATCTCATGTTGCTACTGGCTAATCACTTAATTCAAGTGGCAGAGGTCTGTGCACTGGAACAGATGGTTCCAACCCAGATAAGTGTCAATTTGACATTATGCAATAAAATCTGTTGCAAATTTGTTTGTTTTGTTTATAAGCAAGAAATTACACCCAAAAATTATGATAGAGGACTATTATTTTGTTGGCAAAATTAACCACTCACAGTTAGGACATACTAGGATTAAGACTGCCTGAGTAACTTTAATTCAAACTATTTGCGTATATTCATTATGAAGCAGCGTTTAATTACTTGATTGCATACATATTTTTCCACTTAGACTGCAAAGCATACTTAGTATTAAAAAGCTGATTAAACATTCCAAGCACAACTCCTTTTCATTTTATCTGCAGCTGGGACTGCTTAGTACTGATTCTCAGGACTAAGTCAGGACACAGATAATGAGGATGCATTTATCCACAGCGACCACCTATGATGAATCTGTACAAAGTAATGAATACAATTTTGTTGAGAATCTGAAGGATCATTAAACTACTTTAATCATGAGACGGTACTTCCTCTATCTTCAATTCTCTCCCTCATTCAACATACACATTTATAATGTGTTAAACAATAATAAAAGTAAAGCCCTAAAAAGAAAGAAAACCCACAGTCAGTAGGGTTTCATCTCATGAAAAGATAAAGAGTGATCAGGAGCTAAGCTAACTCAGTAATAATACCAGCAAAAAGATTTCAAGGTAAAATAAATATAATGCACAGTTAAGACATTTCCAAGTGAGTTGGAGGTCTTCCATAATCTTTATCTCGGAGTCTTAGAGAACTCTGATGCCAAATAGGCATTGTCTTTGAAAACCAGAGGTCAAATCAAGTGCAAAGTGACTGAACAATGGAGATGATGGTATGCCTCTTAATAAAAATGGGGAGAAAGAGGAGTCTCTAAAAGGATATTAACCATTCACTTCAATGCTTGGAAGAAAAATGCTAGAATGAAAGACAGGTTTTGGTAAGCACTTAGAAGCAAGGGTGAAAGACAATCAACACAGGATTCTTCAGAACCAAGTTGTGTTAAACCAATTAAATTTCCACCTGTGATGTAGCTAACCTTTCAGATACAAATCTTGATTTTAAGCATTTCTAATACCATCTTATACAATGTCCTCAGAACTAAGATGAAAAACAACCTAGATACCCACTGACCTACTAAACTTTGGCTGAAGCGAAAGCTGAGGTAGTTGAAAAACGATAATTGGCTTATCATGAAATCACAGCTTGATGGTTGCTGGAGATTCTAATAGGTACTCAGAAACAGCAGCACAAGATGATAGCAGAACCCTTAACAATACAAACACAGAATGGTATGGGAGGCACCATGGCTACGAACAGAAAGCACAAACTTTTAATTACAGGTCAATAAAAGAATGTAATTCCATGAACTGGGTAAAACTGGTTTTAGGGATAACCAATGAAGAAAGAACTAACAGACTGTATTATTAAACATTTAAAAGTGACCTCAAGCAAACAGCAGAGGGAGGAAGAAACTACTAAGATTACTGTGCTCTTCCTGGTGCTGTCAATTCACTGTAATGACCCTGTCACCTTCTTGAACAAGGTGGGTGCCTTCAACCATAGGACCAAAAAATGCACTGGAAGAATGACTGCCAATGTATCTACCAAGTACATAGATACGAAAAAGCTTGCGTATATCAGTGTTAATGCACAATTATTGGGAATGAGCAGTAATAACTGGATTACTCAGACTACATAGGTTAATATAATTGTAAATGGACTAGTAATTCCATTATTCTCTTGATTAGACTAAGATCTCAATAGACTAACAAAATATTTTCGGCATGACATGTAAAATGTGATTCCTGAGCCCACATAAATTGCACAAGGTACCTGATCTAGTTGACCCTTGAGGATACCCTAAGGATATTCAAATTCAGTAAGTGGGGCAACTCAAGCTGTAATCTGCAGTGCAATAGTGTTTTATAATGATTGACCATCAAAGTTAGGTATACACCAGGAAACTAAGCTAAAGCTTCATACTTCATACTAGTATTTTTTAAAACTGATCTGATCTTGTTTCATGTGAAGTGTCAAAAAGATAAACAAAAAATGTAACAAAACCTTGCCACTCACCACAATGAATTAGAAGATCATCATGAAATTCATATAACTCATCCCGAATCTCCTCTGGACAGGGACAGTCCTCTCCAAGTTGAAAATTCAGCAACATATTAATCTTTAAAGGCATTAAAACATATTTAAAACATTAAGATAGCCTAAGACATATTCTAATATATAGCCATACTTAATCAATTTATAATCAAATTAACATAAAACATAGATTTATAATACATCTTAAAGGAAATACTAAAGCAATAGTACTTTGTAAGCTTTAATTATGATTTACATCAAAATACAGTTACACTTACTAATAAAGCTATTTACTAGAGGTAGGAAAGGTATTCCCAACATACACGTATCAGCACAACACTAACTTCATGCTAACTCTTAGCAACTAAAATTATCAACTTATCATCATCTTGCAGACCTGGATGAATTTCAGTTCCTCAGCATTGGGAAATTATGTACAATTTTTCTATACTGTTGAGAAATCCTAAGTTAACTGGTTTTAGAACTGGAATTCTGGAGTACAGGTATAAGCATTCTGACATTCAGTATTTTGTGGCATCTTAATGAATTTTATTTCAAATTCATCTTCGGTTCTCTAGAAACCCCACTGGTAGTTTAGAAGTGAGAACTCTATTTTATCATCACAAAATTATTTTTTTATCTTTAGAGTCAACCATTTGTTTAATATTACCTGTTCTTGAGGAGGAGAACGAAATTCTTTAGTCTTCTTGGCAGTCAAAGCAGCAGACATGTTCAAGGCTTGCATGAGTTCATTGTACCTGTATTTCTGATTATATTGCAATTTTGATACATAACGGTCTGCGAATGACACAATTGCTTCCACTCTGTGTTGTAGCTCACAGTCACAGAAATAATTGAGTAAATGACACATCTAGGATAGAAAAAATTTAACAGTTTCACAGACTCTAAGTGGAGAAGAACCGCGGTGGATACTATACACTGCAATAGACTGTAAAATGAGAGACTTTTTTCTCATATTTTTCTTTTAACACTGTAAAGTTACAAACTGACATAGTTTCATCATCTTAATGATAATACTACATTGCATTCACAGTCCTTCACTCTAAACACAAAAAACATGTAGAAATTATAGAATACAGCATATTTTGGGTTGGAAGGGTCCTTTAAAGATCACCTGGTCCAATCCTCCCTCTCTTAAAATACCCCTGTGATATACATAAGTATTTGCAATCTATTTTGAGTGTAGATACATGTAAGAAAGAATTGCATCATCATGAAATTTGGTTATTATGTGAGGTTATATAGCAAAGTGAAATAAAGCCCTCCAGGATTTCAAATCTTACAGACTAGAGAACAGACAAAAAGCACTACCTGTCTTTCATCAACAGTAGAACATATGTAATATATTTATATTTAATGGTCACCTGAAGCTTAACAGATTCTGGTAATCTTGTCTGCAATAAACCCTTTGCAGGAGCTTTCGTTTCTTTCATTGCTTTTTCCCCAGCTTCTACAGCTTTTTCTTCAACTTGTGTAACTTCTTCCTTCTCTGTCCTTTCTTCTATCTCTTCCTTGTGATCTCCAAACACACTGGGATCAATAAGGAGTAACACCTGCTTCACATCATCATCATCAAAAACCCCCATTATGAGCAACGTTGCTATCAGTTTAAGAACAGGAACAAACTGGAACGCAACATGTCCTCCCACAGGGTCTCGTATATGAGTACCACTACACTGTACCGCCTCTGTTAACATACTTATGGCCTTGCATTTAAGTATATCAAGGGGTATCTCTGGGCTGGATGCCTGACGTTCTTCACTGGTCACAATAAAGCACGGAGTAGAAAAATTAAAGCCTGGTTTCAGACAAGTGCTAAGCCCTACTCCAGGTAAACCATGCTTCTTCATTTCATCAGGATATAATTTAATAGTTCGAGTCTCATCTGTAACTGGAATGATAAATTCATTATTCATCATGAGCTTGGCTTGCTTGGCATGCTCCAAATGAATACTAATGAGCAAGTCGTAGAATCCAGAACGTAGGAGTCCAGGTAAGTATCGGTTGTCTATTGTATAAAACAGCTGAGATATGTCCACATGGCTACAAAGTGCAAAAGCAACTCTAGTGTTACCCAGAGCACTAACTGAGCTATAGAGTTTTAAAGTGTGGTAGTGAAACTTCATTAAATCTTCTTGTTCACAGAGTTCCAAAATATCAACGCATCTGTTATGAAATAAAGAAATAAAACACCTGTCAATTTATTGAATAATAGCTTGGTAAAAGAAGCGTTTTATAATCTCTGCACTGTGAAGCTGCAAAATAATTGATAAAAGTGCAACAGTTAAATTATATTTCTGTTACACTTTTGCTTATAATTTGATTGTCACTGGTTATCGTATTTGGTATTTAGATACATCTTTATTATCCTTACTCTAAAGATAAAACCTATTGAAAATCAGAAAGTCAGGAACTTGTCAAAAAGAACATAAAAACTTAATATATCTAAATTCAGAGCAGATTAAAGAGGAACAGATTACATGTTTTTATTATGGAGAAAGATCAGTAAAACAGTACTTGCATGTGCTTTATATTTGTTTTTTTCAAGATGAGAAAATATGCTTAAAGACCTAGAGATTTAAGAGATATTATTTTATAATTTAATAAAATCAAATCATTGTGTCTTCTCTTATTTATGCAAATGTTATCATATGTGTCTTTTATCTTTTGTATCTACTTAAATTTAACAAATATGATATTACAGCAGATAAGTTCAGAAATTATAAACATCTCTAGTGTAAATATTCTCCAAGGCAGGTTAAACTAATACCCAGATACCAGCTTTCAAAACATCCTGTCCACATCAAGTCACTGTAGTTCCTTCCAAATGTACCTGTTTTCTTCCGGGATATGAAGTGCCATCATCTGCAGAGGTTCCAAACACTGCACAACCCAGCCATGACGTTCACTGACACGCTCCGTTTCTACTTTTAGAAAGCTGTTTGGCATCCTGCTCCATAAAACAGGTGTAATTGTTTGCACATCAAGGCGAGGGGGACACTGAGGAATAGGATTTCTTTCTTCACTTTTAAAAATTGCTGCTGATAAAGGCATGGTATTCTGAAACAAAAGTATTAATTGTTTTGTTTTGGTTTTTTGTAACATCTGATTATGAATAAGCCTATAATACCAAATGGAAGTATAATTAATTAATAGCAAAGTATTCATAGAAATATATGCTATTGCAATAAACAAGGACCATTAAAAAACCTACAACATTAAAGGTATTGTCCCCAAATTACATCAGTTTATTTTGACAAATGCAGTCTAGATCTGTTGAGCAATTAACTTCATATAATAATGACATTTACAGGAGTAAATGTAGAAGTCAAAAAAAAGTCATTGATTCCATCTTCCTAAACAAAGTCACCTAAGCAGGAATTTCTGTGGAAGTAAATGGAAGTAAATAGTTTTAAGAGAGCACCTTCATACAAAATATTTTGTACCTTTAGTTTACCAAGTTCAAACTGAACCAAGTTGGTGCTCGTAGGCCGTACAAAAGTTGCTGGAAAAAGCTTTGTGTTTGGTTCAACCTAGAAGAGAAATGAGATTAAAATTCTTTAAAAAATCCAAAAACCATCAAGAATCTCATCTGAAAATATGATAAAATATAAATTAAATATACTATATAGCTTACATTTTATTTTCAAATAACTGAAAACACTGTATTAAAGTGTTGATTAGTGTCTACCTGTAGATTACCTCTAATATAGTAAACCATCTTTAGAGGCCCACCTAACTTTTGGGCAGGTGTGTCTGCTGCCTTATGTGTTCTCAACACATATAACAAGAACTTTGGAAACACTGTGTGTTGATTCTTCGTAAACACATCCAGATCCAACACCTCATTCTAGAGCAATTCCTTAAAAATCCAGCCACTTCACAGCCACACACTTTGTCTCTTGCTCTAGGAAAAGAGCCCTCAACACAGGCTGAAGGTAGAATACAGCTTTTCAGACCATAACACATCGTTTAGAGTTCTTTCACACCTTATGCTGGACAAAATAATTCACTTACAAAAAAACCCCTCAAAACTAGATTTCTAAAACGAATACCTTAACATTACCCTGACAATTAAAGGCAAAATCTGAAATATATATATGTATACTATCATACATTTACTTCTTTATTATAGACCATGGGTTGTTTTGGTTTTGGGTTGGGTTTTTTTTGGTTGGGTTTTGGGTTTTTTTTTCTGAATATCACCATGGTATTCAATAATTAGATCAAGAAGTACAGCAAAATAAATTACTTCTCCTGAATATGTTGACCCATAGGCCTTTTAGAATGAAAACAGCATACAAATATTGTCCCTCCAGTTAAGAAAACTGAGAAGTGCAAACAGTTACAAGGTTAGAATAATTTTCCAGCAGCCACTAGATAAGAGATATATCAGATATTTGCTGAAATTTGGGTAAGAGATTAGATTTACTAAAGTTTTTTAAGATTTTATTTTATGGTAAAAATATTCAAGAAATTAAAATGAAAACTATATAAGACTATCTTCACTACTTTCAAAAATAGAGAAAATATTTAAATTACTCAAAATAAGCAAAACTTGTGAAATATTTCACCCTCAGAAGTAACACTTCCGTTGGAATATGCCAATGTATCTTTATAGGAATTGCTGGGTGTGCTGGGTGTTCTCATTTTTCAACAGACCATGTGCTAACAGGTTTACTGAAAAACATTTCCAAAAGCAACACCAGATATTTTTCCATGAAAAAGAGAAGAAACAGAAGAGAAATAAGTAACTATTTTCTGAGGTTATTTTAAATTTAGTGCAAAGTATATGGTTGCAAGTCATAAGAGGAAAAGCCTGAAAATGACTTTTTTACACTAAAATCAGGAACAGGATCTTCTACATCTATATTTTCCTAGATTTCTTTGCAAAATTAGAAAAACAGGTAAAGACTGTTCCATGAAAAATACCCCAAAATCATCATACTTCCATGGTTTTGTTCCCAAGCTGTCATATTGATTTGTATCTAGCTTAAAAAACAGCAAAGCATGTGTCTTATGCACTTTCATCTCCTGTTTTCTTTTCCCAGAATGCTGACATTTAATATCCTCCCAGCATGGCACCAAAGTCTCTGACTACTCTCAGAAAACACACCAAAATCACAGCTGTTAGATCATCTCCCACCCTCATTTACAGACTCTGTGCAATCCTGCCACATTCATTTCAAATATAGCCAGTATGAAAGTTCCATTCAATTTAGTTGAATAACATTTAAATTTAACTTGTATTACAGATTTGTGGGTTTTTTGTTGACATAGAAGAAAGTGGATCACTACATTGTTTCTAATACTGGATAATCTCGTTCTCAGTGGATGATCTACCATGGACAACTGATCTTACAGAGATCAAATCTCATCAAACTGGTGCTGAAGGACTTCTGTCAACTACTGATCCATTCACATAATGACTCTACGTTTCATAATATTAATAGAATTTAGGGCCCACTCCATTTATTTTGGCTTTGATATAAATGCATATTTGAATTTTGTGTTTTGAAACATCACATCAAAAGATCTCCAAATCATAGCTATAGGCAGAAAACACAAACCCTGGTAATAATAAACTAAACATATTTTCTCAATCCATACCAAAAATTACTATATGTAACATCTAATTTTGACCATATGGTAATTTAAATAATTATTTCCCCTATATCTTATAACAGATTTAGTGGTCAAGATTTTTTTTTTTTTAAATAATTAACATTATAAATCAAGAATCTGAACCACAAGAGTTGAGAGCTAAAAAATATTTTTCTGAACATATCTACAAATAGTCTTTCCTCACCAGCTGAAACAACTGCAAGAAGATGGAAAAACGTAGCCTTACAAGAGAGAGAAAAAGAGGAATAAAACAGAATAATATAAGAAAACATATTCTTGTCAAATGAATGGCATTCAGTTAGATTTCTGAACAAGAAAAAAAAATTAATAGCATCAAGATGACCAGCTTACTAGATAGCTTGCTGAAAATCTGATAATACCTGATAACAAGTGCCAAGCTCTTTTCCATTGGCTGTGAAAGACAACATTCCAGTAGCAAGGTCAACAAAGCATCCGATTTCTAAATCAACATTACTGCGACCTGATCTCTGTGAATTAGCAATTACATCGCCTCCCCAAACCATATAGCAATTGCTGCGCTTCACGCTGGAAGACAAGCAAGAACAAAGAAAACAAACCATAGGTTACACTGAACTTAAGTATTCAGTGAAGATGTACTTTTCAATGGAGTAATAGAGATCCTCTGAGGTGTTTATCCTGCTAGTAGTTTTGTTTTCTCATTAACAACCCCCCCTATTTTTAATAATGTAAGCATTGTGGATAAGCATCAGACTAAGTGCACCTTTAGGTTTTTCTCCTTTATTATAATTACAAAACAATTCCAGATGCTTCTGTGTGCTTATGTAAGATACATTAAAACAATTAACAGGTTCATCCACAGTGACCAAATACAGATGTTAATAGAAAGTACCATCACAGAACATTCTTTGAAACGGAACACTAATGATAAATATACTTAAACAGGTCTATGTAGAACACATTCATATATAAATGAGCACAGAACACTCCTACTCTATAATCAGTTTTCTTATTACTGTAAATTAATGTTTAAAATATTATCAATCTTCAGAATAATACACATTTGAACAACAGTATTAAAATACAATGTCTAATAAGTGATAAGTAAGTCCATACCTTTCATGAACCCTGCCTCTCTCATCACCTAAAGTAACTGTCACTGTACAGTTTTTATTTAGGTCAAAATTCTCACTGTAAAAATGGTAGTCTGGTGTTACCCAGCCAACCCAGACACAGGATGGGTCTTGGCCGGCAAATATCCGTAGTGAGTAAAAATACTGAAAAGAAGAAAAGAATACATTAGTAATAGAAATCTAAATTATTTTGTCAAGGAATAATCAAATAGTGATTAAAAAAACCTCTCCTATAGATCAAACTTCATTAATACCAATTTACATTCTTTTAATAAGTCATTTTAAAGGCTCATAAATTAAAAGAACAAACTAGTGGTTTAAGATAGCGAGGTTCATACCTCAAGTCACACAACTCTGGGCATTATTATTTAATACATAGTGTCATATCATAGTAAATTATTAAAAATCCTTCTTTCAACATACCAATTTCTAAAAGACATGCTGCCACAGCTAAATCTACTTCAAAGAGTAAGAAGAACTAAGCTTCTCAATGTATTTACTTACAGTAGTAGAAGTAGCAGCAATTTCTTGACTGTGCTTTCTGAAGATAAAGGAACATCAGTAAGTTAGTTTAAAAAAAAGTGGTAAAAAAGTACTCATTATTAAACTGTCTACTTACAAGCTAACTCATATTTGCTGGGTACTGAGTCTCCATGAGTAAGTTAAGTATGAAAAGACTGTAGAGGATACAAATATACATTCATAATAATTGACTGTAGTTAAGACGGAAAGGGGGAGGAAAAGATAGATTTACAGCAATTGACTAAAGAAGGCGGAAGTACTGGAAGGTGCTGAACTCAGTAATGCCTGGTATCTTTAAAAATCTGTCTCACAATCTCACAAATCATACTTTGCATGAATTGGTCACTTTTCCAATAACAATGAGCTATTGAACAATAATGTAGATGCATAGCAGTGAATAACTATAAACCTTGTTTTGCATCTCTTCAGAAATGGTCCTTTCTACTGTATATAGAATTCTGCAGCAAAGTTGTGTTATAAATTTATTAAAACCATCAAGAACAAAATAATCTCAGTAACATGCATCCTGTGGTAGTGTGTGCTTAGTGCAAAACCAAGTATGAAATATGGAGTGTAGACCAGCAAAGATTAACAGAACACATTAGATTTGCATCGAGATCATGAAATATGATAGCTAAAAAGAAGCCTAACCGTTTTTGGAAAACATCAGATGAGGCATTTTCCACACCCATGCTGAAGTTGAATGATGAGCGGAATTCTATGGGCATACTCAAACGACAATATATCATTTCTGAATTGCTGTTCTGTGTGCCAAATGTTTTGTGTGTAACTTTTAACCGAGGTGGACTCTCAATGGTTCCATCAATTCTCCATATCTAGAAATAATAAAAATAGTTTAAAAATAATACTGTCCCAAGAAAAATACTGAAAATTTACATTAAGCAACTTCATTAGAAGATGAGATAACTGAAAGAGTAAACTTAAAATTTTCAAAATTCATTATTTAAAAACTATGCAGATTCTCTGAGAGGAATATAGCCTGAAGAGCAAGGGAAGAAACAGATTCATTATATCCTGACTACAGTAAATATTTTCAAGTTGTTCCATACTGCATAAAAAATTTTTTTTTTCAAAAAAAAAAGTATAGATTTTATTAAATTAATTCCCTGAGTGCACAAGTGCTTCACAAGAATCAGTAGTTTTCTACCACAATGAGATGAAATATCAATTATAATCCTTCAGATGATCATTATGAAGCCTGAGTCTTATTATTTTCCCTTGTGCTGAAAAAAGTGGGTATACTTTTAAAATCAGTAATAGGAACGTTTCAAAAACTTTTAGTGACAGGAATACAGTTTAAATGATCCTGATAAACTGAAAAAAAATGCTGAGATCATTTAGTTAGTATTCAGTGAAGTGTATTTTGCTTAAGAAAGAAATGTTCAAAGACAAGTATTAGGAAATAATTGGCTAAATACATAAATTAAAGTAAATGGCCTAGGGATTTTCGTAAAATCTGATCAGGAATTCAAACATATCACTGTGGAATATATTAATAAGGAATATTTTATACAAACCAGGATATATTATTCTGCTCTAGAGTATTAGCTGACTAAATCAGTCTCTGTTATCTCACACTTCTATTACCTTAAGTGATGCTGATGCTATAGTAGACAAGATTTTAAAAATGTATAGTAAAGTAGGTTTAAAAACTGAAAACGAATGTAAGAATATTAAAAACAGTTCTAAGAATTCACAACTGACATGTTTCAAGTAGCTAACCACAACAACATAAATTAGTAAGTCATATAATGGAACATATAGGTATATCCATATGAATGGTAATACTACCATAAATGAAGTTGGAGACAGACAAGATCATCTGGAATTACCTAAGAGTGACTTCAAAGATTTATATGACAAATTATCTGTTGACAGCAAGTCTTAGTAAGGGTTTAATGTCTCATCTTGCTAAACAAACATTTGATAAGCAGGTGTCTCTACAACATGTAATGTTACCTCAATGTGAGGATGATTTTTTGGCACATTGACAAATGTTGGTAAGCGTTTACTAAACCACATAGCAACATCTCGGTTCATGTTGACAGCAAAAGGTTCAAAACCTTCTTGAAGGCCACACATTGTGTAATACTTGAATGTACTGGCATCCATTCCAAGGTTCATACGACCAATCTGAGATAGACCCAGTGCACAAATAGGAACAAAACCTAAGAAAACAATACAACAACAAAAATACACTGGTAATTTATTTGGAGAACACAAGCATTATATTTGGGATTTATCTAATGTGAACTAAACTTTTGTTCCTACAATTAATGCACATGAAGTGGTGACAGGAGAAAGGATTTAAAGCTAGCTTAAACACTAATGTCTAAGTTCATCATTCATGACGGACAAATAGACATTTATTAATGCTGGCATTTTTTATGACTGAACACTTTTGGTCTCCATATACCTGAGGCAGCCAATAGACAGGGATGAAAGGCTGTTGAACTATTTCTCCATCTCTCAAGAAACAGAACTTGGAGCACCTTCAAGGAAAAGCCAACAATGCAACTTCTAAAGGAGAAATTTTTCACCTACACTTTAACTTTAAGCCTTCAGAAAAGCTCTCTTAAGTCAGTCTCTCATTCTGTACCATTAGAAACACTGTGTCCATGGTCAGACCAAAGTGGGACAGTGAGCAAAAAGGAAAATAGCCCAGGAACAGGAGAAATGTAGATACAAATAGGACCAAAAAAAAAAAAAATTACAAACCAGACTCCATTTATATTGCAAAGATTTGTTCTTCTGGTGCAAACTCTCACCACATGCTACCCCTTTTGTCCTTCACAAACAAAAACATAATATGTGTACTGTCCAGTGAGATAATCAGAGACTGCACTTTTAGCTTTTGGAAATTTTCAAGGTGCTTATTATACCACTTCTTCCTAATGCTGAAGTTGAGTCCTGTGAGTAAGCCTAGTAAGAATCGAAGAAAATTTACCCATTCTGACTGCTGAAATCCCATTAAATTCTACTTGTGGTTAAAGAAAAAAAAGAAAACCAATTTGTTCTATATAAGTGTTCTTAAAATAAATTTTTATAAAGTTAACATGTAGCACAGTCTGAAGGCTCACATCAGTGAAATACAATTTCTCAGCTCACTAAGCCATTATGACAGACTAATTTTCCTGGGTTTTGTTTTGGTTTTGTCTTATCATAAGCATGTAGCTATAAAAAGAACATTACCACTTTCTATTCCAAAGTCAGCAAACGCAAGTTCTGAACCTTTACTGGTTATAAGCAACTCTCCATTCAGAGTAAAGATAATAGATTTGTCATCCAAGTTTATCATACAACCAACCACATCTCCTGGTTGCCAGCTTCGTCCAAAGAATCCACTGCCTTGATGCCAACGCTGGCCCTAAACAAAACAAACAAACAAAAAGCAAATAAACACTGTTCTAAAATTAAAAAATACAACACAAAAATAAATAAGCCAAACAAATGTTTCACCTTCCAGGATCTCAAAGTAATTTGCAAACGATACTGATCATGACAATTAATTTAATTATTACCTCAGTTATTTCATATAGGGAAACAAAGGCACCCTAACTTCACTAATATGCAAACAGCAATTTAGAACCTGGATGATAACCACTGTTCACTACATTCCACTTCTCATTATCATCTTTCTGGTCCTTTAGGTGTCAAGTTTGGGAAGAATGTGCAGAAAGAAAAAACAGAAAAGGAAAAACAGAACTGTGGTTCTCTCCCCCAGTCATTGAAGAAACTTTGTTTTATTTTTGTAAAACACCACTTTTAAAGAAGTGAATGCTGTATTTTGTTTATGCTTACAACAGACTTTACTCTGTTGTGTATATCCTAGGACAATAGATACATACCAACACATCTTTTTTAGCATAATTTAAATGACCAGAATTGAAATGCAGATACTATCCAGTATCAATATGAAAGAGAACTCAGAAATATCTTTTTGAGAATCCAATATATATCAGCAGTTGATCTGGAATATACAGAGAAAACCTATACTGTAGTTCTCTTCTTAGCCTGTTCCTAGGTAAAAAAAGATGAAGATGTACTGACTTTGCTTCCTTCAAATACAAATGCTTGGTCATCAGCTCCCAACTCTATGTCAGGTCGACAGCATGGCCTGGCCCAGCCAACACGCATATCTCCACCTGTCACCGCTTCAAATTCAAAGTACCACTTTCCAGACTTCACTGCATAAGACTGTTCTACTCTGAAAAACCGTATCTTGTCGATGCTGACTTTTTCCACTGTTTGGTCAGCTGTAGAAATAAACAGAAAAAAATACCCCACCTTTTATAATTAAATGAAACTATAAATGCTGCCGCTTCCCTGTTCATCTGTCCCCAGTATTTTCTATGTCTAAGAACAGCCATTAACTACCATTGCATTTTTAAGAACCTTCATAGTAAATGTTAAAAAAAGAGGAACAGTAATAGCGCATACAGAGGCTAGCACATTCTAATTCTGTACAGGATAAGTGATTATCCAGTATTAAGAATCAGAATATTTCAAAGTATCAATCAATGCAGAGCCCCAAACACAAAATAGACTAGAGGAAACCTCAGGAGTGTAAGATTACTACATGCAATACAATCCAATGCAATAATTCAGTATTACAATACCAAAATACTTTCCTACACAAATCAATACATTTAGAACATTTAAAAAAAAAAAGTCAAATAAGTTTTAGGTTGCTTTGGATTTTTATCAAAAAATTACAGTGGTACAGCAAATATGAATAAAAATTTCTCAACAAATTTCTGCTCCTGACTTCAACAGAAAAAGATTATGGGACTTGGTGCACTTCTTAAGAGAAGAGTCTGACTTGAAGTAGTCAAACCTAATCTGCATACCATGTAAAACAATTATTTTAAATGATTCCCATATTATTTTCTTTCTTTCATTATTTCAAAATTAAAACTAGTATGTTCACTCACACTCCAGATTTTCTCCGACCTAAAAATCCTGGAAATTAGAGTGATCATATCATTAGCTACAATCAATCTTTCAAAAAAAAATCTAAGTAATATACAAATAATTTACAAAGTATACTTGCACCTTTCATTAAAGTCCACTGCAGAAATACACCACTACTAATTTCTTACATTTTCCTATCTATTTCAGTGTTCATGCTTTTTTCCCAGCAGCAAGAGAAAAAAAGGCCATGATTCATATCAAAAATACATACCTATCTCTTGGTCAGGTGGCTCAATGCTATAACCATAGCCTGAAAATGTTCTAACAGCTTCACGGAGGCTATCTCTGTTTGATTTTTTAGTACGTTCATCTAATAATGCATATGGCACCAGCCGAGGATTGCGTTTGTTCTTAAGATCCTAAAAGGGATTATAAAAAAGAATCATAGAACAAGAAGAAAACTGTGTTTAAACATCACAAAGATTTTATATAACAGAGTGTATTCTGAAACTATATTGATCACAGGAGAGAACCAATATTGATGAACAGTTCTATGGATGCAAGCCCAATCGTTAATGTAGAAACATATTCTCATGTATCCTGTAGCTGCAGCCATGCAGGTCTGACAATCTAGTCAGACTTTCACGGACAAGGCTTCTTTGCCTGTTCCCCATTCCCTGTAATTTTCCAGACACTACACAACATTCAGTATTTATCCTCCTATGTAACACTCCCAAGTGATGTTCTAGAAAACAAAATCTTACGTTCTTACTTACCCCAAATGCATCTAAAGAAGTTCTTACCTGCTGAATGCCATAGGTCCATCCTTGCTTTATTCTGTCTTTCGCCCAGACATTATGTGCGTTTTCTGCTAGTTTGTCAACTAGAAATTCTTGAGAAGGTAACAATTTCACTTCGGAAAGATCAAGAGGAGCAGGTTTATATCCATTTGACATCATGTAACTGTAAGTCAACAAAGGCAAAGAGAGAGTCAAGATATGCCACTGCTGATATTTAAAGTTTTCTATGTGGCATTCAGAGGGGTAGTTCACTTTCTCCACTTTTCATTTAATTGGTTTGCATACATCCTGTCTTGCATTTGGCCACTGAGTAGGATATAAATTGTATTCTAACAGAAAGACTCATATTCTCCCTGCTTGAACCAAACCTAATTAAATTTAACCCAGATACGTATATTGCCACAAACCCCCCAGATTGTTACTAAATGAGTAGTCTTTATGGGGTTTTTTTGTCATTTAAACTTTTCAAATAATTTCTATTTTAAAGATCTGCATGAAGACTTCTTACAAAATTATTTGTATGAAATTGTTTTTATGCATTAAGTATATTTTTAGTCATATTATTAAGTTAAATTTTTATATACTAATCTGTGAAGACTGCTTTACCATTTTTCCAACAGAAGAAAAGATATTTTAGCTATTGCTCTTCTCACTTTTTCACTGAATAATAATTTCATAGTTTTTTAGTAGTAACTATTACCCTCTTCAACCATTCCATGTAGTATGAAGTCTGCTCTGCTGTTTTAGACATACACAGACTCTCTCTTGCTCAAATTAGATAATTTCCATTTGTTGGGATGATTCATATAGACTGTAGATATTTTAATATGAGTCAGAAACTAAGATATATTTGTTGTGTTATTGAAAACAATAGCATCAAAACAGCATTATGATACACAGCCTGCACTATGAACCTTGGGAAAGGTCCCTTTTTGCTTATTTTTAATTAATGCCATCACCTGGATCAAGATTACCATCTTCCATCTCATAAAACTATATGTTTTATTGTTCTCTAAAAACTTTGTTTCAGGAAAAAAGACATCTTGTGGTTTATTAAATTGATGTGTATCCAAATTTTGTTGCAAGACAGGATTTTAATCTGTCCCAGGAGGACTACAGAATTGCCACAGACAAGGCTAAAATACAGATTTAATCCTTGACTAATCTTTGCCTAATCTTTTGGGGGTGATTAGTACTGATGACTTAAATATGTCTAAATAAAATATTAACTATTTTAGCACTTACTGACATCTCTTAGCTGCCAAAAAAAATAAGAAAAGAAAAAGAAATTAAAGCAAAAACCCAATTGTATTTTATACAATAATCTACAAATATATATTTCCCAGAAATGTGCAACATTAGAAGAACAAAAATTTTATAATTTTTTCTCTTCTTTAAATAAATGCATTAATAATGTCTCTGGAAATGTGTGTATGTTGAACAAATCTGTTCTTGGTTGGGAGGGAAGGAGAGGTGCAGATTGAAAAAGGAGGTATTGGAAAATGGTGTACTCTCAAGTAGATAAATGCACATACTTTTCTTTGCTATGTGATAGAAGAACACTAAAAGGTTTTTAACTTTGGAGTATCTATCCTAAGAACATATAACACTGACATAATTGCATGTGGTTTAAGTATATGACTACTTGTGTCTCTGAATCACTCCACAAGGTGATGTAAAGCAGCAGTATTCACAGTAAACCATAATTACAGGCAAGTTAATTGACTAACCATATGCTCTGTAAGGCCATATCGGGTATGTGGTTCACATCAAGTATTTTTTAAATGACTTTACAACGTTTTTGTTTAAGTAATACCCTATGGTTCCAAATAGTATATAATGGTCATCATAAGGTACATACTTTTTAGGAAGTTTGACTTTTTTAAGATCTTCCTCAGCTGCTGGATGAGCATGAACAATGTGACATCCAAGGGCCAAAAGGGTTCTGCCAACATAAAAAAATGGCAGTAGTGAAACACAACACTCACCTATTTTATTAATTTCTTTTGATTTTACTATAAATAAGCAGAATTAATGGTATTTAAACACCATGGAAATAATTCAAACCCCAAATATTTTAACTTATCAAAAATAATAAATGAAACCTTTAAAGTCTAAAAAGTTACAAATCTGTGGTTTGAAAGTAACGGCACATTATTAAAACCAACTGGATTTGATGTTGTTTACTTCTTTGTATCTCTGTGGAGACAAGATTTTTCTAAATTGTTCTAGAATTCCTAGAAAAGTTAGCAGAACACACTTTGAATAAGATATTCTGATGTTTTTAGATCTTACAATAGTATGAAGTGCTTGAATTAAAAAAAAATAAACCACACAACAAAAACTTTTTTTTAAAGCTCACTTGAGGGTTTCAGTTGACATTTGTAGATTATAATTCTTCTCTGTCTCAGGTAATTTTGAGAATTCCACAAGACAAGGATGATGCCTTTTATTATCATCCCTTATCTGTAACAAAGCAACAGAAATGAGTACTTTCCTGGCACCAGATGCAAGCCAGAATGAGTAACAAATCCATTAATTCTTTGCAATAATGAAGGCATTGTAAACACTACCATTTATCTTTGTTTGACGACATTACCTCATCATTAGATAAATGACCTTTCCCAAGATACATTTATAACGCAGACTTTAAGTACTTCTCTATAACCAATAAAATCAGAAAAAATAGTTATTTTATGTGTTCTGCATAAGTACATCAAACACAAGAAAGCAAGCCTGTAAAGTCAAAGAATATTTCTGCTGAATGTCTGAGCAGTACATGCTCAGTAGAGCACAAACTGATCTACTGTTCATATTCCAATTCAAAAACCTTAAAAGAATCATTTGGTTATGTTTTCTAAATTCTACAGGATTAATAAAGCAGAGCATTGTTTTTTCTGATACTGACATGTCTTTTGATACTTATCTGATTTGTAATTAAACAAGCTTGCTCACTCAATGAGAAGTGCTTCTATCCCGATAGCAGCCTAAGAGTCACGACATTTCACACACAAAACATTTTTCAATTGCCAAATCTCAGAAGAACGAAAAAGGTTAGTAAAGCTCAGAATTTCAATAACAATGTCACTTTAGCAGACAGTATGATACTGAAGAAAAAGGTAAAACAAGTCCATAAGTAAAAATAGTGGAAGATAAGAGAAGGAAGATTCTTCTGAGTTAGGATACAGCTGTGATGGGCACTTGGAGGACTACCCCAGTAAATCTGAATTTAAAAAGAAGCAAGATGAAATAATCTAAATTCAAGGCATTCAAATCTGACATTACTAAGGGAAGGTACCAATTTTAATCTAATTATTGAATTTAATGTAATATTCAGAATATCATATTCTTGGCCTACTCTTTTAACTGTTTTTGATTTAGTGACATCCATGAGGCAGGGAATGCCTTGTCATGTGCATTTAAATAATGATTACCAGATGGCATTGCTCTCTTCAAGCTGTTAGGTTACACCACATTATAAGGGATCATTATAACGTCAAGTTTCAACTGTAACTAATTAAACAAAAAACCTGAGCTTTGAGGAATCATGTTTACAAAAGTCACCAAAACCCTGTCTCTATTACCAACACAAGCAAATTTCCACAACGGACATTTTTCTTGTTATCTCTTTGATCTCCAGCACTAGAGTAGCCAGCGTTAGTTGAAGGGTTACTCACTATTGCTATGATTTTCAGTAGAATTCCATCTTGGAATAACTAGTATGTTTCTCATTTAAGATTTTTTAAAATACTTGCAGTGTGAAAATATGTACCTTATTTATATTCCAAATTTTCCTTCCAATCACTAGTTAATATCACTTTCTTATGCCAGCTTATATGTTTATCTTTTGTTAGTAGTGTATAGACCACCAATGAACACTCTGTTGAACATTCAAATCACGGTTTTCTGGTAGGAAACTTAACCTAACATAGGTGACTGTATCCAGACAGGTCATTCAAAACATACCTTGCCATATGTCCAACCCAGTTCTATTTTATTCATTCCCCACAATTCATGGATATTTTCAGCTAGTTTGTCCCTGATCTTTTCAAGATGAAAAGGAAGAGCAATCTAAGAAAAGAGCATAATGATTCCACAAATAAGAAAAGGTTCCAGGTACAACATCTTGTAGATTCAAGATCATCTAGTTCAGCTAAGTATACCACAACACACAAATCATAACTTGCTAAGAAAGGGGGCATGATATCTTAGTTTTTATATCAGAATTTAAATTTTGTTAAAACATGCATTACGTCAATATGGTGTGGAATATCCATCCATCCCAGTTTGGTCAACTGGGGTCAGCTGTCCCAGATGGATTCACTCTCAACCTCTTGTGCACCCCCAGCCTACTTGCTGGCAGGGTGGTGTGTGGCAGAAATTGCCTTTACTCTGTGTAAGCACTACTCAGCAGTAACTAATACATCTCTATATAGTCAACACTGGTTTTTGCACAAATCCAAAACAGCCCCATATAAACTAGTTGGAAGAACATTAATGCTATCCCAGCCAATTTTACAATCCCATTATCGCATATTTGACATACCTGACTGGTGTCTATTGGACAAGGGATAAAGGAAGCTTGGGAGAGGAATTGTGTTGTACCCAGCAAATCCCTCACTCCATCAGAATCTCTCTTATACTCTTTCACTGGTTCCAGTTTCATCTTCTCTTTTGGAAGCAATGCTTCATAACAGGGAGCATAGCCAGCAGGAGGCAGAAATTTAAACTCTCCATGACGTCCACCCAATAAGAAACGAACTCTGTGCAATTTTCATGTAACATATTATACTCTTAAATAGTCAGCATATACTCACATTCTAAATAAATAATTTAGAAACTTTAACATTTCTTTGAATAGCATTTACAAAAAGTCAGGTGTATTCAATGCTTTGATAAACACCAAAGAGTTACCAAGCATTCACACTAGCAGATGCTATTAGACGCACTATTTTTTGAAAATTTGTTTTGGCCAAAGTAAAATCAATGCAGTAGCATTTTTGTTTGGTTGGTTTTTGTGGGGTTTTTTAATATTTCTTACTTAAAATCAAATTATTGTAAATTGTGAAATTGTTAATGCATTTAACTGTTTTGGAAACACAACTCTAATTTAAATTGGACTGTTATTCTAAAAAAAGCCCATAGGGACTATTTATATACCACTTAAAAGTTTTAAATTAACTTCTCAGCACACTCATGCAGGCAGTTGGCACATGAGGAAAAAACCTCCAGAGGATATGGTGTAAAAAAAGACTATAATCATAATACATAAATCAAGCAAACAAAATTATACCTAATACTACCACTGGAAATAAGTTTCAGCAGCATTACTAAGATTCCTATTAAACCTCTAAAGTTTTCTATTTCTCCTCAAATACATATTTTTCCATATAAATTTAAGAGTATACAAGGAAAAACAACGAAGAAGAAAACTATCGAACTCCATACTTTGGTTCTCATGTAGGCAAACTCTAGACATAAACAACGACAGAAAATTATTGTTATCTCTAGGAAATAGACCATATATTTGTTGTGATGGGGTGACCAGAAGAAATCTACACCACTTTTTACTTACACTCATAGAAATAATAGAACAGTCAGATCAACATATTTCTTTGACAGTAGGAGACATCAATATAAAAAGAGAAAAAAAATTAAGACACAAGTTTTCTCAAACAGGATGTACATAACCACAAATCACAAATATTTGAAACAGTTCAATGTCCAAAGATATACATTATTATTGATTACTTCTATTAAGCTTGAACTTTCAAATTTAATTTTAAAAATACATAGTTTTAAATATTTGAATGATCCCAAGGCAGCTAAATATTTAAGATGACAACTCTGAGCTATACCTCTCTTTATGGCAAGCCCCCACACATTTTAAAAGTCTTTAAAAATAAAAAGGAGGTCAATTTTATTTTAAGACCTAGAAGTCTAACTTCCTAAATAGACAAAAGTCAAAGAAAGAATTGAAATGGAAAAAAATTCTCACGCAATTCTTCCCTTGCTGACCCAGTAAATAGTTCTTTGCTTCCTGCTAACTAAGACATTTTTTCTGAGTTGTAGCAAACCATTAAATATCCTCTGGTCTTTATTGTGCTCTAATTCCTTCAGAGGCCTGTTTTCTCCCTGATCTTCACTGCAGTATTTAAACATCCACACAGGTTATATCCTCCTAATCCTGCACACTCTTTTAAAATCCTGAACACTCCAAGAAGCTGTGGCTTTTTGTCTCATTTTAAAAGAAATGTTCAGAGATTTTGATTTTAAAAGCTTGCTTTAATTTGTTTGACCTTAACCTTAAAAAGAATAGTCCTGAAAATCAAATATAAAGCAATATAGCTACTGAAATACAGCTAGAAATAGTAAACCAGATTGTTTTAGATAATTACTACTCCTTTTGCTTCATTTTGGAGTTAGACTATACATAGGCAACTGTGCCTAACATTCTAGTAATTTGTTAGCAGCTCTACTTATTTTTTGTAGCCTGAATGACGAGACTATGCTGAAGAGTCTTTTGCTTACTACAAAGTCTGTCTGTGAAAGACAACACTCCCATGATAATGGTATTTAATGTACCTCATGTTTAATTACTAAAAGCACCAGGCATTTACTTTTAAGATGTTGACTTTTCATGTTAACACATTCAGACCCCTAACTTCACTAAAAGCATGTTGGGTAGCTCATTTAAAGTTAATCTTATATTTAATTTCTTTATCTCTGTGTTTACACAGTTTTTAAGAACAGGTTAAATAAATTTGAATAGAAGGATAAAAAACCAAAAGAAAATAAAATGAATTCTCAATACAGGCTTGTTGTTTAAATTCCTTGATTATTTGAATGGCCATGTTGTAGTACTACAAGCAGAACTCAGCACCATTGATAGGAGAAAAAAAAAAAAAATTATAGATAGAGAGAAAATGCCTACAGTAAAAACCAGAATAAGGGACAGTGAGGGGTAAACAGGTATTGACAAGAGTTTTGAGAGGAAAGACTGATGATGGAATGATGAAGCAGACCCAGAATGATAGACTGAGAGTCACAGAAAGCACAGGAAAAGCAGATAAGCCACAACAGAAGCAGAAACATAAGAGTTTGTGCCCAGTGAAGAACACACTCATTAACTCAGGATTCCCACATAACATTTCTGTGATATTAACAGAAACAGAAGATGATATATAATCTGCTAGTGCTAGCAGCTGCTATTAACCACAAGGGAAAATGCTCTCACAAAACACACAAACATCAAATAAGAATGAAGAAAAATAATTACACCAGTTTAGGCAGATTTCTTACAGAAAAAAAGTAATGAACGTTTTCAAAAGCTCTTGTACTAATGCAGGTACATAGTAGGGTCACTCCCAGAGCATAAAAGAAAATTGATTAGTCTCTTTCCACACCTCCTTTATTCTGTTTGGTCTCTGCTAGTATTCTCACCTTAGAGTTCTCTTAAGCTGAAAAAGGTGCTCAAAGTATTTCTGTATTGATCCCAGAAGGAAAAGCCTACAGAGAACTAGTTACCTGACCTAGTTCACCTCAGAGAAACAAAGATTTCTTTTTTCTTAATTGCTAAATGCATGAACCATTTATAACTTGAGCTATCTTTCACTTATGAAAGCTATACAGTGTCTATTATGGTCATACTGTACGTACATTTCTCAGAAACTGCTGTGTATAAGAGAAACCCTCCTTTAAATGGAAGCTAGCCCTTTGTATCTTTTCACTCCACCACCACCACCATTCCACTCCTGATTATTTCTTCTAAGTTTGGCAGTTTCTGGCAGCTAATGACATCTAGGCCATTAGCCTCATTTCATACTGAAAATTTTTCGTAACACGTCCCTGTTTTATGCAGAAATCATGCTTAGCTTACACAAGACAGAAAAATCCCAACCTTTCTTAGCAAAGAATTCTCCTTAATTATCTTTATGTCTTCCTAAAATTGTTATTTGTCAATACCAGCAAGAAAGATGTTGTAAGATGAACTGAACAGAAATTGGTCATGGTATAATAACAGTGCAAGAGCTAGTGTTTTGTTGTTGTGTCAGCTTTGTAATGTTCAGACAAATATTTTGGCCACTTAAGTATACTGATATTTGCAGAAGGTTTCCTCAAAGAATTAAAGGTAATATAACAATAGAAGCCTGAAAATGGTAAGTCTGAATCTTAGTATTTTAGCTACAAAACAGGTGAGAAATAGGCAATGATAGTAACAATATTCCAAAACTGCTTCTCATCAGTTCTTTGTGTTTCCTAATGTAAATGTAATATCACTTTTCATGATGATTTCATTTTTTTTACTAGAGAATTTTAATTAGTGCCAAACATGGTGCTGTGTTTCTAACGTGCTTTTTTTTCACTGATAATTGGAATAAGACAAAATTGATTTCCCCTACGTCACTAATTATGCACACAATAATAAACACTGTGACTTGGTCACTTTGCTAAGTGGGTGACATTTCACCCCTAAGTAAATCATTACTAAGCAAATCAGTACTGTCCTGCCTCTCCCTCCCAACTGCTTGTTGAGAAGAACCAAAACAACAAAACAGAACAAATCAAACATGAATTTGGACGGTATTCTTTGTGATGAGACAGCAGAGAAAACAGCAGTTAGAATTGAGGTATACTTACTTTACACCTGCTGATAAGCTTACAACAGGGAAGAAAAACCCTTCTGTACTGAAGTTCTCAAACATTCCTTGTACAGGCTGTCCATTAATGCGGAATGAAATGCTGGGTACACCTAAATCTAAGCAGCAGCTAACCACATCATCAGATGCTAATAAGTGCTGATTGACAGATGCTACAGCTCTGGGTACTCGACCTAGAATGAAAGTATTCAGTAAACAGAAGCTTTAAACAGGCTCTCATAGACTTAACAATTAAATTATTTCCTATAATATCATCAAGTTTTTTGTTCATAGTCATGAAGACATGATCTTGACTTCATCTATTTTATGAATGGTTCTGCTTTTAGAGACACAGAGTGAGTCAACATTCTTCAAACCGGTACATGGCAGAAAAGTTCATGAACTGAGAAAATCGATTGAGACCTCTGGCACTGTTCACAAGACAACATGCTCAGCTGAAATCAAGCCAGTTCATACTGTAGCCTGATGCAAGAGTACTGGGGCACAGTAAATGATGCTGTATTTATAAAGCTAACATTGACATATCCAATTTTTCTTTTCTTTAGTTATTTGTGAAATACCAGATTCACATATCTCTGAATATTCAGTGGTTAGACACTGGAACAGCTTGCCCAGAGATGTTGAGGTTGCCCCATCATTGTAATTGTTCAAGGCCAGGTTGGAAAGGCTTTGGGTATTTTGGTCTAGTGAAAGACATCCCAGCCCATGGCAGGGGGTTGGACTAAATGATCTTTTTAAGGTCACTGCCAACCCAAGCAATTTTGTGATTCTATAATTTTACTGGAGCTGTGATTATGAGCAATAACCAGGTTTACAGTATCAAGAGGCAGAATGGTATACTGAGTTATCAAAAAATGGAGCAAGAATTTAATGGGCCAGGTTTTCTTTGTCAACTACAGCCATACACTAAACAGAGAAACCTACCTGGGAAGGTGGAAAATTACAGCCATGCACAGGACTCAGCTATTATAATAATTAACTAGAGATAATATACCTGAAGTAATCCAACTATACACATTTACAGGTAACTGCAGTTTTTCAATTGCACTTGAGTATCTAAGTATATGTTTAGCCAAGGAATATCTCTTCAGAATTCCTTTCAAAACAATTGCTTTGAAAACATCGTATTTTAACTGTAAAGCAAGTCTAAGTAAGCAGTTAAGCACTACTCCAAATTATTGTGTTTGGAACTTTTTAACAAGTCACATCAACTCTTCACGACCCTTTAAGTACCCCGAGGTTTCCCTTACTGCAGGAGATCAGATTTAAGACACTCCAAAGAACTGTATTTCTGAGGTTCAAGTAGTGTTTAATTTTGTATTAATTATTTATTCAGGTGTTTCTAATGGAGTATGTCACAGATGTCTCCCAGCCTACTCCCAAAAATTATTATTTCTGTGATTTGAGAATTATCCAGTAGTACTGAGAAAAAAAAAAATGAATTATGTGCGCGCACACACACACGCATTTTATATGCAAAATCCTATGCTAAAAAAATGCTAATATAATTGAAAAGTCAAACACACTCAAATTAGGAAGGTTAGAATTAAGGCCATAAAATTTAATTCAGCGTATTTATATATGCTGTATTTAGAACACAACTTTTCACTGCATGGCCTGACACTATTCTTTTCTGAACAATTGCAGAGTACTTAGCTGTATATGGCATTTCAAGGCACTAAGAAATATGGGGAAATTAATGATTTGCCTACATGCCTTGAATAATGTACAATAAATAAAGCACAAGCCACAAATTCAACAAGCTAAAAATAACCATCACTTACTATATGCAAAAGAGATATGGAAGGAAATATGCTATTTCATAATTAAAAATGGTACCTACAAGAACTGAAATAATGTCTGGGTTTTTTACCCAAACTTCTGAATGCTCATGGATGACTACACACTCGAGAAACAAAAGCGTTAATTTAAGACAGATCTATAGTGTGTGTTGATACTGAAGTTTTTTCTAAGTATTTTGAACAAACTTTAAAAGACATGTACAAGCTAAATTCCTGGTGAAACAAGTTGTTACAGAATGTTCTTTACAACAAAATGTGGCATTGCAAACTCAATGCCTGAACATTTAAGGGAAAAGGCAGCCAAAATTATCCAACTTTGGGAAAAAAACTCCACATCTCATTCTGGAATATGAACTCAGGTTTCAACTCAATTGTATCTTGAAGCAGAGACCCGGACAAATGCGGTCTCAAAAAATTTATGACTACCAAAGGTATAAGCCTGAAAAATTAGAATTTTTGAGCATACTGATAAAATATTAATACTTATTAATATTATTAATTAATACTGATATATTGATACTGATATGTTATAATACTGATATAATACTGATAAAATATTAATAAATTATTTCTTATAAAAATCTTCTATATGAATGAAAGACCGTTACCAATTAAAGTAGATTTTTACATATTTTAAGTTCAAAAGCTAATTGTCAGAGCTCTGTTTTAAATATTTATATAAGTAGAATACATATGTAAAATGTTCTAGATATTTTAGCAAATGTTTCACTTCCTACAGCTTTTCATTCTCCTTTCATTACTTATTGATACTTCAATTAAGAATGATGTTACAAAGATAGATGATGTTCTAATTAAGGTTATACAACCAATTACCTAAATATTTTCTTATTTTATAGCCCTATGCATTATTTCTTCTCTGAAATGTTCCTTACTTAGAGAGCATTTAGGAACTTTCAGAAAGCAAGGACAAGCATCAGCGTTTCCTGTGTTGCCATTTCATTCTTACAATTAGCCAATAGCACTTTGGTGGACATTTCCTATAAGAACATACATTGACACATTCAAAAGGTATTCTGTTGAGACAAACGTGTCTGTTTACAAAAGTATGTTTTAGTTCCCTTTCCCTGGATATAGGACTGGGGAAAGGATAACCACACAAAAAACACAACAGCCTGGCTCATAGCTCCAAAACCACTTTCCAGCAAACTGTGTACCCCAGCAGGCTCTCACTAATCCGTCTCCAAAGCGTCCTGATCAGGGTTTTTTCTTTATAACACACTCATCATTACAAAAATTATTTGAACTGCAACACTTCAGATAAGCACTCCTTTCACTCTTCTAGAGCTCTTTTTCAAATCTACCCAACTGCATGGGTGGTGATTTCCACTTTTTCGTTTACTCAGTCCACCAATATCTTCACTTTGCTTGAACTAAGAATGGCTAATAAGTCCACAAGTTTACTGTCACTGATCCCTAAGTGACCATAAAATATGCATTTGCTGGCATCCATTTACTCCCTTCTTTATAAAGTACAAGTGCAACCACCTCAGTGCAGTACTAATTGAGAGTCTCTTAGATTACTATACATGTTACAAAGCATTCCTAGAAAAACTTCTTTTTTTGCTAAGCCTATCTTAGTTAATAATATGAAATAGATTTTTTCACAAAAACTTAGCATACTACAGGTTTTCAGTTTGATATTACACCACAGAAATTTATGCTTTAAAAACAACCAAAGTTGCTAATAGTGCAGCAATTCTTATTTCTAATTGTCAAAATTATCCTCTATGAAACAGTTTATCAAAATTTAAATTCAATTTATCAAATCTATCAAAGAGAGATAGATGTAAGGACAATAATGTCATTTCAGTTCAACTGTAGATACAAACTGAAATAGTAAGGCAAATGTAGATCCATATGCAATGAATTTGTCTCAGTTCAATACATCCACTGTTTTTGAAGAGAAAGACTTAAGTCAGTATTGATCTAGATCTATAAAATGCCATTTTTGGATCAAAATCATGAAAATAGAAGCCATGTTCTAAAAAGCCTAAGTGTTGTAATTCAATATTGACTAAATCAAGAAGTCTGATTTGAAACGCCAAATAACTTCACGGTATCCTGGAGTTCTGAATACAGCTCACTACAAAACAGCATGCTATATACACACAGGTACTGAAGGTAAAGGTAGGTAACTCCTAAATATAAGAATAAGTGGAAGTGACAAAGGTACTTACCAGACCACAGATGAAGGCCATCAAAACCATAAGAGTACAGGTCATCACCAACACCATTGCCTCCCCATCCTTCTCCACCTCCAGGATAGGGGGCATAACCTGAACTAGAGGCCCATCCAACTCTTAAGTGAGTGGGTTCTGCCGTCAAGAATGGATCAACTTGATCAATTATTAACTCATAGTACCACTTCTTGTATTGTGCAGAGCCTTCAGCAACACCCAAAAATATGTTTGGCCTTATGCTAAGAAAGAAAATATAAGCCAGTTAGTGTAAACATAAAATGAGACATACGAATTATATTGCTGTAAAACAGTAAAATGAACTTTTCGAAGATTATAGTGTCCACATTTTGTTTATAATATTTAAAATAGTGATCTGGTTTATGAGTTTATAAAACTACTGTAGAAATATCTTCTATGGCATAGGTTCCATGCTTTGAAAAACTTATAATAAAAGGTGGAATAACAAGATCATTTCCTAAAATCAAAAAACCAGCAGCAAAATTGCCAGGAAATCAGGTATTTCTTAAAACACACAAGTACTTCACACTACGTTTACATACTCCTTAATAATTATTAGGTAAAGCCATGATCTTTTTTGAATGAGAAACAAGCAACTTTCATCTTCCCATTTCAGAACAGATCTTACAATTAATTAGCAATTTCTATGTGAGCACAGTTTGAATTACAATTGCTGCATTGTTCATAAAAATTAGCTTTTCAGAAGTTAATACATAAACACTTCCTAAAGGGTGTGTCTCAATACTGAAATCTGTGGAAAATTGCTTAGGTTACAGTACTTTCTTCAAGTAATTATTGAAGACAATGTCCTGGTCCCAGGCAGCGATGAGCTGCTCTCCTAGGGCAGTCTATAAGATTTTGTTTCATTCCATAATACATCAAGCTGAGTGGTCACTGTTACCCCTGTACCGGCAGCACTGGCAACGAGCCGGAGGGAAGCTTGTAGAGGCTGGACCCGGAAGGTGTTGGGGCTGAAGTGGGGGTAGTGGGGGGTGGGGAGGGGTTGTCACCCCGAGGTTCCACCTGTCAGCGCATTTTTTTGGCGGCAGCATGGTTGGGGCGCAGTATTTGTCTGAACCTTGTGTTGGATGATGAGCAGACAGTTAGCGTCTTTGGTCAGGCAGATTGCTCTGGAAAGGGGCCTTTGAAGGTTTTCTTTCCCTCTGCTTTTGGCTCCCGGGCTCAGAGAGGGGGTTTTTCTCCTTGGGGCTTTGGATTTATTTTTGCTTGCTGTCCTGGAACCTGGCTGTGTCTGTCCACAGGTGGTGAGATCCTGTATCATTTGTTCTATTTTTCTGTTCTTTTAATTACTTATTAACAATAGCATTGTTAGTACTCCCTAAGTTTCATTTACATAATTAAATAGTTCTTATCTCAACTTTTTACGAGCCTCCCTTATTTTTTTCCTCTGACCGTTCCTCAGTGGGAGTGGGGGGTGGGAAGGTGGGTTGAGTGGTACAGTGACTGGTGGTGCTTAATTGCCCGACAGGGCTAAACCACGACAGACATGTACGTTCCACTTTTTCTAACATAACAATAAAACATGTCACTATACCTTGTCACATCATTAATCAAACGTGTCTGCAAGAGTAAGTCTCTTCTAGGCAGTAGATTGTCACAGATCAAATTTTGATTGGCACGAACTGCAACTCCATTACAGACACAGAGAGAGCAAAGCACATCGAGAACCTTAAATAAAAAAACAATCAGAAGAAAGTTGGGTAAATGCAGCTGCATCTACTATCATTTAGTTGTTGGCTTAATTTACATTCAGAATATACTTAAAGGAAGGAATATAATACACATTATCATTATTGGTTTTGAAACACTTTTCACATATATGGACCAAATGCAGTCTGTACTCCTGGCAGAGGTTATCAAACATTTGTGGAACACGAATTCCGAACACAGGGTTTGCAAAATGCCTCAAACAACCTTATCTCAGATTCCTCTTTCTCATTTTTAATAGAAAAAAAACCAAAGCTAGAACACCTGTATATTAATTCTTTATAATTTTTTTTTAATTAAAACTCATTAAAATTTGAAATGTAAAATGGAATTATTTGAGAAATTTACTGCAGCCCAAAAAACTTTTCAAGCAAAATTACTGGACAAGTCTCAACTGCAGTTCTCAGACTGCTTAGGGATCTGTTCTGAAAACATATTTTCCACATGAAAAATAATCCATTTATTTTTAAAATTAAAAACATTTAAAATAATTCAGTATAAAGTAAAACAGAGTTTCAAAATATCTTATTCACACAGATTACTGGAGCACAAGGTTTTGGAAGATACAACAAAGTAACACAGCGTTGTTACTTTGCCAAGGGACAAAACTTTACACTTTTGCAAAAAACAGAGCAGCTCAGAGATGCACTTGAGCTCTGATAAACAACCATTGAGCAATGGGCCCAAATGATCTAAATGCTTACAGACCATCTCCAAGACAACCATCTTCCCACTGTTGATTACCATTTTGGAAACTGTTGTACAACACAAGGTGCAGCAGAACAGAACATTTATTTTAGCTACTCCTATTCTCTGCCCAGTGGATTAGTACAAAACCACCCTCAACAGCAGTTCAAGATAATGTATTGTGATTTTTGCTATGTCCCAGTCCATGCATTTTCCTTTCCACTACCCCTTTTATTAGGCAGAAGCCTCTAGCAGAAGGATAGAGGTCATAACTTAAATAACTGCAGAATCTCTAACTGGTACTCAGCTGTAAAGTGTCTTAATAATATTAATGATTTTTTTATAAATTATGTAAATAATATATATGCATTCACTGGCCATATTTCTGATGCCAAGCTTTTAATTTTAAAAATGCTTCAAAAATTACCAAAGACAGTTTTGGTTAATAATATCAATGTTTCTTATTTCCTAAATCACAACAGAATTTCTAATTTAGCAAGAGAATAAGAAACACGATTTCTGGGGTAACAAATAAATTCATTACTTCCCTTTACTTCATTATCTACCAATGTTTAGTCACAGACATTACAAATGGAAATGCAATCTGTTACACAGACTAATTCTTCTCCTATGTATATTTTTCTTTCCTGTTTTAAGTTCTCACTATGAAGTCTACATTAAGATGTTCCAGCTGAAAGGTTCTCTTTGCAGGTGACTGGCACAGCACAATAATCTTGCCAACAGCTAAAAATAGTAAGCTAAAATTACCACCATAATTTCAACTTTTTTCTTATTCCTACTTATATCAGTTCATATGCCTTAACCATGCTTACAAAAACTTCTTTCCTTTTCTGTATCTGCAGTTGGTCAGGTTCTCTTTATTACCTTCTTAAACAAATAATTTCAGCTCACTAAAACTTTCTTTGTTCTTCCTCCAGGTTATCAATCTTTAAAATAAAATTTTAATTGAGGAAGGAAACTCACATCAAAAAATCAAACATAAATCTATATCCTTCTCTGTGTTGTGATGTCATCCTGATCGCAGCCAGAAACTGTGTTCACCTTCTTCTGTCATAATAAATTGCACATTGATGTCTAAATTAATTTCCATCATTATTTCTTCTGGTATAACTCAGGATATTTTTCTTTCTTCTGAACACCTGTGTTTTCAGATATTTGGATTATTTTTCTGATTTCTCATTTTATTTTGCTCTTTTCTGCTACTATTATTATTACTCAAGTTAGGAATGACTGCAGGTTTTAGTTCTTTTTGTAGTACAACAATGGTAGTTCAGTGCTTCTGCAGAGCCCTGCATCACAAAGCAAGCTACTCTGTCCATATGCTTACAGCCACCAGAATGCTTAATTTTCTCAGTAAATACAAAGTTCTGAGTCCTTTTTTTTATACATATTTGCTGTATTTGAAACTGTAAAGCATTTATATATTACATGTTTTAACCTCAACAAAGCAATTTTGCAGGTATAATTCAAGGTTATTTTATTCCTTTAAAAGTACTAGAATCACATACTTCCAAATAGACATTTCTCTGTTGAAGTTGGGTCTTCCCCCCGCTCCCCACCCCCCACCCCCAAATAATTCTAATATTATCAATATATCCTTAATTTTTCCAAACATACCTTGTAATTGCGCCCGTGTTTATCCAACAGTGAAATAATGGATTTTATGTGCTCCTCGGCTATTATATTTAAAGCTTCTGGGCTTTCAATCAAGATGCAGTGCAACACTTCCAAAATACCTGTATGAAGGCCATAGAAGTAATGTCATTAAATCACCTGTGCAACTGAACACAATCTAAAAGCTCAGTAAATAGCAAAGTATCTTAAGAGATGCTAACTTTTCTCCACCTCAAAAAGAGAATGAAATAATTTTTAAAGACTATTGATAGGACTATGATGTGAACCGCTTTAGACATAAATTCATTATGAAGCTGTAAATTTCTGTTTTCTTTTGAAAATAGACACAATTTCAAAACCACTTGAGAAAAATGCAAGATTAGCTCCTTCCTTTCAATGAGAGAGATAAAGGTTTCAGTAGGGAGCATTTTACAGTATTTCAGTATTTTGTTAAACACCTCATAGTAAAAAAAATTTTCTGTCTCTCTACATGCATACATATATATATCTGGAATTTGTACTTGTGCCCACAAACAATTCTGGTTTTATCTGATATCAAGACAGTAGTCTTGATACTTTCTAACCAAATCCATTAATTCTCCCAAGAAATGTTGGATTGGATGATTGGATACACTGATTGGATACAATATCGTACATAGCAACTCTATGGAAACAAAAAATATCACAAAATGGTCTGTTTAAATTTAATACTTTGCTTGATTTTTTAAAAAATGAAGTATATTGTTTGCTAACAGATGTTGTTTTCAAGGAAAACTGCTCTGACATTTCAAAAGTAAGACAGTGTATGGTGTATTGATAGTTAATTTACATTGATAAAATTCTCACCTGAGGAAGATCCTAATCTGTCCAATTTACTTATTAGCCAATCAAGATTACTGGAAAATTGAGTACAATTATTTCTGTTGCCACGAATGAGAGCAGCTGGAAAAGAAGCACAAGGTATAATTTTATAACGTGATTTTCTTTTTAAATCGATGTTAATCATATATATTTTAACATAATTTTTATAACAACTTCACAAAATAATAAACAGAAGAATCCTAAATACATGTATGTAATGGTAATCAAGAATTAAGATTTTCGTTAAATTGAATATTAGCAACTGATGTAACTTGTAAGAGGATGTAGTTTTTGAAGTTGACAGGGATCTACTACATCTAGTAGAAACAAGAATTTCAGAAAATATGTTTTATTTATGCTTTATTTTATTGTTAAATGTAAGTAGAAGTTATCTACCCCTCTTGTTTGATGAACATGTCAAGCACGACCATGATCAAGAGACTGAAACATTTCTTCTTCTATTTCTTACTACCAATAAGTGGAAAAATCATATGCAGAAGTTTAAGTTCAAGCGCAGGTTGGGCGTACTGCTCTTCAGCTCTACTTCCTGACTAAAACATGTAATGGAATGCATAGCTTCTAGTCTTCAGTAGAGCAGAACACAGTGCTATTTGACTACACTTTGCAAGTTTATCAGTATTCAAGTATTTCAAGTAATATTCTTCTATTTCCAGAAGTTATTACTCATCATAGAAAACCAGAAAAAAAAACCCAAACAAATCAAAAACAAAAGCAAAACCACCACACCTTCTGTATATAACTGTTAAGGATTTTATTGTGAAACTTTAACGTATTATTTATTACATCAAAACAAGTATGTTCAAGGTGAATGTGCAGAAGAAAATCCAGACAAAATCTGAAGAGACCTACATAGCACCAAAGAGGTTATTTTCATCCTGCTTTTCTTTAAATTCATAAGACCGTAGTAAAATGTAGGCAGTGATATCTCATTATTTTCTAAAGCAATGAGAAGATTCAGCAGAAGCATCTGCATGTCTGCACTATGTGAATAACCTCAAAGCACTCCCCGTGGTTTGTTTTATTCTTGTCCTAACCCTAGACTTGCATATTTTACTATGGTTCTAGACTTTCTTTGTAAGGAAACTAGAATGTATTTAAATTCCATCAGAAGACAAGATTCTCCTGTATGAGGAATTATGCATATCAAGTATCAAATTAGTGATTTAAGGAAATACACATATACACACATCTCCTACCCTATAAATACTGTTTTCCAATTTTTCTAATTATTAAAATAATTCACACCTATTTGCATATATTTAAATCAAAACAAAAAAAAAAAAAACCCACACATTTGGCATGCTGCATCAATCTTTTTCCTAGCTGAGATTCATTTTTCTGCTGTATCACTGTTCGATAAACTCTGTTCTCTCTAATAAGTATCACTAAGTATAGTGAAGAATTCTGTAATTTACATGATGAAATGAATAACACACAAAGTATTCTTTGGTGGTGAAGCAGCTAGTAGAATATAAAAAAAACCATATCTTGGCTTTTTACATTAGCCCATTATTAAAGAACTTACCTAATAATTTGTAAAGGAGGTTCAGTATTTCTTTCCATGCTGTACCATGTTCTTCTCTTGCAATTCCTGCAAAATGAGCTGCGCTGTTGTAGTCATTTAAGCGATCGATGCAATTCAAAACTAGTGCCAGCATTCCCTAATGCATATGACAGAGAGGAAAGCAAACTGTAGCATTTGTTATTGTTCTTTTAAAATTATTTTTTTCCTTTATGCATTTAAAAGTTGCATCAACTTAGATTAAAAAAAACCCAAACTATTGTGCTTACAAGATCTGAATATGTATTTTTCAGTATGAACAACTTCAATTTTAGAGAATGATCCTATACTGTTCCTTACTCATCAGAGTATTATAAGAAGGAAGGAATAAACAAAGCTGACAATACTTTATAATTTATAAGGCTTTTATAATTTTTGTGAACAGACTCTTTTTTTATACAAAGTCTTCTTTACATGGGAAGAAAACCTCCAACACTTTAAATATATATATACACTAAGGAATTTTTTAAAATTCCTTGTCAAATTTTTTTCTTTTAAAAATGATATCTGTTTAAAGATCCTCAGAAGTATTAAGACTAAATTTTATGAGAGAAAGCTTGTGGCCTGTGACACATGTGGAAGTGAAAAATACATAATATAATGTTATCATACAGCATTACAGTCTATGTTATATGTATATATATGCATCTCAATCAGCTACAGAACTTTATATCATAAATCATATGCACGCATGCATTTAGATGATAACCTAAAGGTTTTTTCAATATTTGTGACATGATACACTTAATATTACAAATCCTCTCTTTGTACCTCTTCCTTGAATAGATTTTGTCTGTTTTTGAGAGACCGGAGCTTGCTTTGCTTATCTTCATGTTCCAGGTCTTCTTCGGGCAGCTGGAAGTAAGTAATCAGGTCTTTCAGAGTCTGAGCCATCTCCTCAACAGGCAGGGCAGTGGTTGATAGTGTTCTGTTGTTTCCACTACAGAAAACAACAGTGATTAAGACTAGCACCATTGTTCATTTTCCTATTGTAATTTACACTATTAAATAGCAGCCTATTTTCTGTTGTTATCTAAATCAAATCTTGTTATACATATGACATGTATATGAGCAGCAGCTGATCTGAACTGCAAATCATTCAAACATCTATTTTTTGAGTGTCCAGTGCTCAGAGCTTCCTGAAGTGGAATTACATTTCCCTTTCTACTCTGCTGTAAAGAGAGAGAATGACTGAAAATAATGATCAGAAGAAACAATCTAAGTCAACAAAAAGATGAATCAGAGAAGAAAAGCATATCGAACTACCTTCTTACAGTAACTGATTGTGTTTACATCTTTAAAATCCTATTGATGATATAGGCATCATGTGCAGATGGACTAAATTAGTAGCAGTTATTGAGGCTGTACACCCCCAGTCTTCTAGACAACAAACACAAAAATAACAGGTAATCCGAACCACTAATTAGGTCTTCTGTATCAACTCTATATAGGAAATAAAGAATGGTGGGATTTAAAAATATAAAGCATTTCAAGGAATCTCAATTGTCAGTAAAATTATGTCTCTTCCATATTCCACCATTTGCTCAGTCTTGAGTGACAACCCATTTCTTCTGGGTCTGACTCACTATTATGAATAGGATAATCTAGAAGGAGCTGGTTCTTGGCAGAGTTGGCTTTGGTTTTACATCCTCAGCACAAAAAATACAAAGGAGTAGTGTAGTCCCTTGTGATACTGAAGAAGTAATGTTTTAAACACAGTGTTTATATGGCAGGTTCCGTGAAAGAAAGATCTTATTTTGAACTTTTTTTTTTTTTTTTCATCTCTTAGGCAGTAATACAAGATTGAACACTTGATCATGATAATTATGGGAGGAGAATGGATAGAGAGCAG